TATATATATATGTGTGTGTGTATAATAATATATATATATATTACTATATATATATATATATATAGAGTGTTAGTCGACTTGACGTGTGTCTGTGGCACTAGCTCATGGGCCGTAGCTACCGTTACTATCGCTATCCACGACATCGTCTGTCTGGGGGTATTAGTATGTTCCTACAAATATATCCACGGGTTTATGCTTGTATTGTCACTATTTTATAATCGCGCTTTATTAGGGAATGTTCTTATTTGTATGTCCATGTCAATATTTCTTTCCGTTTGAATTTGTGACATTCTCAGTGTTGGTAATGTCGTTGTGTCCGCTTTTCCCTGTGCGGGTAGTGCGTTATACTTTGCCTCAGATTCTGTGGTTGAACGAAAGAGACCTGCGCACAGCAGGATGGTTCCCCGTCGTATATTTTTGATTGATTATGTCCCATCTTCAACGTTCACCATCCATGCAACCCCAGTCCCAAAGCACTTTGCTGCCATCTAACATTCGTATGAACCTCAAATCGGCCATCATTCGTATTAACATGTATTTCGAACATCTTTGTTTCTATCTTACTCCCCGTTTAGCACAAAGCTATGCTGGATCTGATTGAGCAGGATCTATTTAAAGCTCTAATGCCAGGTATCATTTATCTGCGCATGGATGGGTCTGTAGAATCCGTGAACCGCTTTGCCATTGTGTCGAAGTTCAATGCCGATCCAACCATTGACGTGCTGCTCCTCACTACACACGTGGGTGGGTTGGGTCTCAATTTGGTATGTTTTTATATGTGTAGCTAAGACCGGATTGAACTGTGTACATACTTTTTGTCTGTTTACATGTGCATATATGACAGTACCTTATTATGTATTGCACACAATAACGCAGTATTATATACGTATACATAGTCAACCTCACCGCGCAAGTTGGCGAAACGGTTTTGGTAGGTAATTCGTTGGTACTAAAGTCGACGATTAAATTTCTAGTCTCAATTAGGTATTTGCTTTCCGTCAATAAGGCGCAAATCTATAGTGGTTGTGTATGGGAGCCCGTATGGTCTCGATAAAATAAAATAAACTGTGATAGGGGAGGAGTGGGACACAATAGCTCCTAGGGACGTGTAGATTTTTAACGGTTTATCTGCTACCATTGTCACGACTCTGTGTGCAGCTGCAGTGCTGAAGAAAGTATTTCCTTGGTCCTATATGCACATATACATACACTCCATAAACCTAGCCTCACATATTTATATGTATTCTTAAATTCCAAGTACATGTATATGCGCAGCCCATACCCCCTAAACACATATATACTGCATTTTGTAATTCCGAAACGTACTCATGCAGACGGGAGCTGACACGGTTGTTTTCGTGGAGCACGATTGGAATCCGATGAAGGATCTGCAAGCAATGGACCGAGCGCATCGTATAGGCCAGAAAAAGGTAGCGTATTTGACGAAAGCACTTTGGATGTCGTTATAAAGAAGAAATCAGTCGAATACCATGGCATTTTGTACG